GATCCACAAGTCTAACCAGCCAACCTGCTCATCCTTACTTGCTAACCTAAGCCTAGCATTTAGCCCTAGTGGCCTACTTATAACTTTATCCCCAGAGTTAATTCTGGGCAGTATCCCTGACAAAAATGAAGTTATGGCCTTTTTCTATAAATGCCTTTATCAAACCATTTAACTTATTAATTAGCTCCTCTGATCTACCTTTTCCTACATCATTAGCCCCTATATGCACCATAAAACTGCATCTCCTTTTATTACATCTCCTACTCTGTCAGTTACATCCTCCACCTTTGCTCCTGGGTAGCATAATCGGATTCTTTTCTCCCGATCTACCAACAGACTTATCCTATCCACATGCTTTATCAAGAAATCACCTATAACAATAACCTCCTTATCATCCACATCCTTATCTGACCCTTTTGTTTTCCTTCCCTCCAATAGTTCCTCGTCTGCAGAAGCCAAGGGCTGAAATTTGTTGCTCAATAGAGTAGATAAATCTTGTTTATGAGAATCTCATCATGGTATGCAGGTTAAATGCTCATCAATGGTTTCCATATAATCTGTGACAAAACTTAGCAATGACTGTGTCCCAGTGACTCATTGAAGGCCCTAAGGCATCAAGTGCTGAATCATCAAGACTCAGTATGAGATGTTACATTGTCTGCTCCCAAATTCATCTGTTCCAGCAACAACTCATGTGAAACATGTTAGGCAGTGTTCCAGATCTTTAGTTATCCCATTCAACACTGATGGATTAATTTCCTTCACATCAACAAGACTGCAAAACAATGGTGCAGGTAAACAACAGATGACCAGTAATCATAATTTCAGTAAAAGATGGATGAAACAGCTAGTTTCCTTAAGTTTTGGCCCTAACCTATTGATCAATAAGTTCTTTTTTATGACCAGACTTCTCTCATTACTCGTTGAAAGAATCTTAAATCCAATGTATCACCATGTCACATTCACAAGTACCATGATATCTAATGTTAGATTTGTTTTCAACTGCCATATTTATATGTTTGCAAATGTGTTTTAAACTATCTGGTAGTAGATTCAATTCATCTAAACTTGCATTCTCAATATTTAAATTCATACACAATATCTGATTTATCAGTGTCAATATTCTATTCTTAAACCTGTAATATCAGTATGAAGAAGCTTCTTCTCTTCAATGAAAAAAGGTTAGCAAAAATAGACTATATATACATCCAAGTGATTGGACTAGCACACAAATAACTAAATTATTACTTAAACGTAGAGAAATTAAATATGTTGAGAGAAAAAACAAATGGTAATACATTTATTGAACATTTTGAGGAAGTAATATTTAATTTTTATAATTTCAAATGAAACAGAAAAATAAATTGTTACAGGGTTTGTAGTTTGCTATACTTCTGTTGAAACTCAGATTTGAAAATCATCTCTTGTTGTTTGCACATATATTATAGTCAAATGTTGGTGTACTTTGGTGACAGATTTTCTTGTAAGCAGATTTTGTTAAACAAGACCGATGTCTGTAGGTTTACTTTCTTCTTAGAATTCTTCTCAAGAAGTCGATAAGCCGTCTTAATGTTGTTAGAACAACGGGTAAAGGTTGTAGCTAGTGATGAGTTGGCCGACGCGTTTCGAATGCGTTCTGCATCCATTATCAAGGCTGAATGTTGTGTGAATTGTGATTACTGTTGGTGGATATTTATAGGTATGGGTAAGCAGGTGGTGGTATCTAGCTCGTGGAAGGCGTTAATTGGTGGAGTGTTGTATTGTGGCTTGGGGGTTTCTCGCCAAGAAGTAGCAGTGTGCCTACATATATTATAGTAAATATCTAAACAGTAAATTAGGCCTGACAGTTATGGATCCTTTGATAGTATTTCGAACTCAAGTTAGTGATATTAGTTCACCTGCCTTTAACAATTAAAACCGTGATTTTAAATGTGCCAATATGTAAAAATGAAATGAGAAATGTAAGTGAAAATAAAAATATTGTTAAAAGAAATAGTGTGGTTATTATTAACAAATCCGAATACAATCTAAAGATTGAGAATATTTTGAATAATTATACTAAATTTAACAAATTACATGTTACCAAAACCAGTGAAACTAAACTAGGGAGGTATGTTAATATCAAAAACAGGGTAATTTATTGAAACAGGAAAAATGTTTTAAAATAAATCATTAGGTTGTCACCCAAACATTTTGTATGGTATTCCAGAAGTCCACAAGAAAGGTTGTCCTGCTAGACGTACTGTTTCGAATAAAGGTGCATACAATAATAAACTGGCTAGTTTCTTGGTAAGACGTTTGGAACAGTTCATGCACAATATAGTATATATTTCTCATGAAATACAGGATCTAAGATTTGATGAGAATGTGTACTATGCAAGTGTTGATGTAGAATCATTCCAAACCAGTATTCTTTTAGAATATTTTAGTAATAAGTCTAAATTGTTAAATAAAGTAACATCACTTCCTAAATATATTTTTAAGCAGTTGTTGAAGTCTGCTACTAAGGAATCATTTCCTTTTCACCAGTACCATTTATGACCAAACTGATGATGCATTGAGACCCGAGACACTAGCAGTGTCTGTAAATGACCATCCTCATGTGGCGTCCTTAGAAAACCCTAGCCTAAGGCAAGAATTAATATACAAAAGTATACCTGAATAAAGATTTTCTTTCTAAGTAATTATTCACAGCATTCATACACTTTTCATTAAGTGAACTTCTAAGACTTTGCCAAAAGTCTCAAGGACCAGAAAATTAGGACTTACAAAGATAGCATGGGGTAAATAAACAAACAAAAATATTACAATAATTAAGACGATGGATTAAAACAGACGATCAATTTTTTCCTTTCTGGAATTTCTTTTTTTCAACTAGTCTAAGTTTATACTAATATAAATAACTGAAACCACATGTTCATGGTACATTTACAACTGCAGAGTAGTGACCAAATTTCAGAATGTAGTTTCCAAGACAATGACCATACATAACTAAGTGCTTGGGAAATTGGCTGACAAATCAACTGTGATCATAGAAAGACTATCTAGCTTTTGATCATTATTATATATGTGAAATACACACAAAGGTTTACCTGGCAAGTCGGATTAAAAATAAAAAACATTCATGTCAGTTATTTACTTCCATTGGTCATTTTAGACACACTGTTTTTCAAGCACTGTATCACAATAAAATAAAATCTAAACCAGTATTGACAAGAGACAAGATAAAACCTATATTTATTCAAAGTTAACAAACCCATAATATTGGTAGCACTAACTTTTATTATCTAACTTTTCTATAATTTTTGTGTTGAGCTTTCTGCCAATGCTTTGATGATTAAAAGTTTTAATCAGTTTTCTAGCAAGAATAAGCAGGTAAAGAACAAAATACACTGAGAAATAAGATACAAATGCATAGTATTTCAAAATTAATGAGGTTAAAATTATGTTTTTATGATTTTTCCAAAACTAAGTAGAATATATTGCATATTTCCAGGTTTTTAATCACCTATGTGAACACTGTATGAAATGGTAAAATCTTGGAGTTTGCTAATTATGCACAACAGTAAAATCATAAAGAAAGTCAATAGAAAGCAGACCAAATAACAAACATTATAGAACTATAAATTCCTAACTACATAAAATTAACATAAGTATAACAATAAAAATCCTGGTAGGGCCACCAATAGTGACTAAGTTAGATTAGTGCTAATTTTGCCATAAAAATCTTATCGTAGTCACTGTTCGTTGTATCAATTGTATGATTAACCATAAATATTTGATGTTTGGTATTTTCAAACTTACACAACACATCCTAAACAGTAAAGTCAGAGACTGGGATGTTCTGGTACAGCTATTCCTAATTTAGAACTGCTGGCCAAAGGAAAACCAGTCAGCTAGTAGCAACTTCTACTTACACAATTACTCCTAACCAAACAGCATGATTGACTGTCACTTTTATAATATCCCCACGACTGCAAGTGTGAAGCATGTATTGAAATCCACTGTTCATGCTTTATTTTTGGTGGTAGTAAATTCCATCCTTCTTACATTGTATCAAAGCATTTCAGTTTAAAGATAAATAGAAAAAACATTAACAAGAATGTAATTTTTCAAACTTATGTGAAAGTGGTCTTAGTAATTTGCAATATTGTGTGTTAAATTGAAAAAACCGAGTTTCTCAACTATAAGTATTTATATATCATCATTGTGACAATGAGCAATATGGTAAGGTGCTTTAAATGAGTGCCCTGGCTTACTGGAAAAAGACTAACAGGCCAACTCAACCTTCATTTCACAGATGCCTGCAAGAGAGACATGGACATCAACTGGGGAAAAAACTGCTGATAACAGGAGTGACTGGAAGGAAGCAGTGCAGTTGGGCCTCAGATAGAAAGAGAAGATAATGAAGAAAAAAGCAGAAAAGAAGAGAACAAATCAGAAAAATCCAAATACTTCACAATCAACTTCAGAACACACAGGTTCTATATGTGACAGATTTCAGCGATCATGCTCTTCTTGAATAGGATTATTCAGTCACAACCAGAAGTATCAACATGAGGGAAACTTTTTTATAGGAGCAAATTTCTATTGTCTTATAAGAGAGAAAGATGCCTAATACTTTAAATGAGACACAGAAATATCTAAGTTATTTAAAGAAATCAAAATGCTTATACTTTCTCAGAAGAGATAATACTTTTAAATAACTGATAATGATAATTGTTTTATTACAGATACAATGAGATAAAACTTTTTCTTCCATCAACAAGTGACAACAGAAAAACAAGCTTACAGACCTAGCTCAAAACTATAACCAAAGCCATAGTAATTTTTTACACAATAGATTACATCTTTTGAATATTATCAATATTCTGTTATATAATTGTGATCAAGTTAAATATTATTTGATCCAATTAAACTAGTTTTATCAGCATGGTAATTTTTTAAGGTATGTGGACATGAATATTGTCTTATTACATAGCTGAAAAACCAAACTAATATCACCAAAATGTTCCCAATTAGATTTATTTCAAATATTTACATATTCATGCTACACAGAAGTCTAGCAATCTTTACGCTGTAAATCACCATGAAAAGTTAAATTGTAGAAAACTAGAAACTTTCCGATACAAAATTCTTTTTTGATTCTAAGACTCATACAAAAAGTTTTTTTCCACCACCATTCTAGTGACTGTAATTCAAACAGCACATTCATCATGTCCTTCTGAACTTCATGAAGATATCCTGTCAGGAACAAAGAAAATGTGCTATAATGAGACACATAAGCCCATTAATTATAAAACTAATACTTTCTTAAACAAAATAATAAATAGCATATTCTTGATTACAAAGTGTACATATAAGAAACAAGAATAATGTAACATTTTAAAATGGGACCCAAATTTTCTTATATTAAATAACTAAAACAAAATATGTATAAATTTATTAGTTTAGTGTGTACCACTACAAATGTTTTAATCTATTAACCCTTTCACAATGGGTACACCTTTACACACTTTTCTGTTCAAGTCACTGTGTTACATTCAAAATTTAAACACCTTTACTATCGATGTATGTGAACGAAACTAACATTATAATGTAAGTTATGATTTGAAGTTTTATGTCATCTAAGTTTTATCTCCTATATTTCAAAAGAAACCTTTAAAAACTACTTAAAATTTCAGATGTATTTTCATGTGGCCAAAGAACTATGAAAATTCTCTACCTTGTCACTCTGTATCTTCAATAATACCATGGTTGTTGTGTAGATGTATATCTAGACTATAAGATGCTCACTTAACCTTTCATCTGATACATTTCCAAGTTCCTTGAATAAATGAAGTTGAAACAAGTAATAAATTTTTCAACCCCTGACAGCTGCCATGCTCACCTTCGACAGATTTGTTTGAGCTTTATAGCTTAGATGTAGATGTTACACACACATGTGTATAGTCACTAGAAAGAGCTCATTTAACACTTTAATCTAACAATGGTTATTTTGAAATTGGCACACAGTTGTCCTCATATAACTAACTGCTTGATCAACTATAGCACTTACAGTTGTTTCTAATATAAATATGTTATAGTTAGAAACACAGTTTAAACTGTATTTAGGTCTTACTATTATATTTGAGTTAATTATGTATTAGTTATGTTTTAAAATGTATAATTAAAAGGTTTAACGTTTTTTTCTTAATATACATTATACTATGTGATAGTTCTCAGGACTTATAATATTACGTGGTGCATGAAAACTTTGCCAAAGGGTTGCACATGTCTGTAATATGCCTTAAAGGCACTGTTGACTTGTGTCAAGATGAATAATAAGTGGTAAAGAAAAAAAAGGAAAACAAAACATTAAAAATTAACTATATGTGAAAAGGAAAAGACCAGAAATTATGAATTTAACAAAAGGAAAATCTTTAAAGTTATTCTACAAAAAATTAAAATTTATGTATTTTAATTATTTCATTGCATTGTGCATTGATAATAATAGCTGGAGTTAGTGATATGGTAGAGAAAATGAGAAATAAAATATAAACATTCACCTTAAGAAAACTTCGGTATTCATTTAGGAGATAATGTAAATAAAAAATGAAAACTCTAAGATGAAGAAAAGTATTTTTATAGTTAAAATAAAAATCACCTTGCACTTGATTTGTTAAGAGTTTGAGTGCAAGTAACTACAAACATATCTTTAGTAGAAGCATTTGATTAAAATAATGTTATTCTTTGTGTACAAAATATTTATAATCGTTAACAAAATCTTACCAGTTTTTGAGAGAATACTTTAAGAAATCTCAGAGTTACCGTATGTATTGTTGTAGGAGTGAAATTTGTGACATGTTTTCTGCAAAATTACACGAGCCTGATGCGAAAGGGTTAATAATATACAAGTTACCATGGGCATGCTACACTTCAAAATATATTTATACTCCTTTAAATTGCCAGCATTTTCTATATACATGTACACACAACTAGGAACCAGTTCTACCTTACTTAGTACAATTCTAAAAAAAATGTAGGTGAAATCCATTGTATAAGATTACTTAGAAGAAGCAATAAAATAAAACAAACAATAAATATAATGCACTTCCCTAGCAAAGCTAATATTTTAACAATGAATATAATGTGCTTCCCTAGCAAAGCTGACATTTTAACAATGAATATAATGTGCCTTCCTTGTAAAGCTGACATTTTAACAATGAATATAATGTGCCTTCCTAGCAAAGCTGACATTTTAACAGTGAAAATAATGTGCCTCCCTAGCAAAGCTGACATTTTAACAGTGGATATAATGTGCCTCCCTAGCAAAGCTGACATTTTTAATAACAAAAAGGACTGGGTTTAAAATGTATGGAACATAAGAGATGATACAAAGTTGGGATAGTACATTTTCACATGCAACAAAATTATGATTGTAGAAAGTATAAGGAATATAATTACCTTTTCATTTTTTCACAAGTGTTAATAAGTAAGAGCTCTGAATTACTTTACAGAACTCTTTATACACCTATTTATCTATTTAATTACCTACCTCTTGTTACAGTTACCTAAATGGCTTAAAAATCTCATTGATACTTGTATGTTTGCCATATTTGTACCAAATACTCACCAGTTTGTCAATTGCCAAATTAATCCACATGTTCATGCTGAGCCTCTGCTTCCCTCCAAGTGTTACGCACACACTCTACAATTCGTTGCCACAAGGATGATCTTAAGAACCATGTACATAAACAGCCGAGAGTAAACATCCAGGCGAGTATTAAGACAAAGTCAGTGCGTTGAGCTGGCTGTGTGGGAACAGGGCCCATCATATCTGCTGATGTAATGTTAAGTCCATCTTCTGGAGACATGCCTGAAATAAACAGAAAAGTGTTTGATTAACTGAGAATCTCAACTTTACAATTTCTAAGATTATTCCTGTAAGTAATGAAAACAAACAGCTGTTAATGTCATTGAAAAAATATAAAAAAATGCATCTTGGATAGCATTAATATCCACACTATCAAACCAGATAAATTCATTTATACAATTAATCAAATCATGAAATGATTAATCTTGGCCTGGAGTTTCTTCTAAATAACAGATAGGAAACTTTTTGTTTAAACTTAATATTTTAGTCAATTATACATCAGTTATAGCTTTATACTAGTATAATTTGTCTACTGTAGTACTAATTAAGTTAAATTAGGGTTTTACTACTATAACGGGGGCTGCCATGCTAACCTCAGGAGGATTATAACTATTTACATTTTTAATTTTATCAAATAAAATGTTAAATAATTTGTTTAATAAAATGGCCAGTTGTTTAATAATTGTTTTCACTGAACTAGAAATAAATTTAAATTTAATCAGAGATTTATGCAGTTTAGAAATAGCACTTGGGGTAAGTGAGGTAAACTTACCTTCTGAGGCTGGCATTCCAGCCCCATAAGGTACTACTACTGGGGGTAAGTGAGGTAAACTTACATCCTGAGGCTGGCATTCCAGCCTCATAAGGTACTACTACTGGGGGTAAGTGAGGTAAACTTACATCCTGAGGCTGGCATTCCAGCCTCATAAGGTACTACTACTGGGGGTAAGTGAGGTAAACTTAAGAAACACTTTTTGGGTAATAAAAAAAATCAATCCATTTTTAAATACCTAAATAACTGTGAACAAGTGAAAAATATTCAAACATTTGATTTTACCACAATGTATACTACAATTCCATTGAAAGATTTAATTTCTGCTATAAATTCATTAATAGAACAATTTTGTCATCCTTTCATAGTACTGGAAGAAAGAAAATTTATTAAGTTTTGTATTTATAATAGTTATATTTTTTCCATATATTTAAACAAGTACTAGGAGTTCCAATGGGAGCTAACTATCCTACTTGTATTACAAATTTTTATCTTTATTTCTATAAGAACAGGTTTATTGAAAATTGCATAAGTCCAGAAATTGTTGCTTTAACTTATAGATATATAGATGATTTAATTAGTATAAATAATCCTGAGATAAATAATTTTATTAACACTATTTATCCAGTAGAATTAGAAACTGAAATACAACAAACCTTAAGACTTAATAAAAAAAAAGTTGATATTTTGCGTATGAAAGCATTGTAATGTTTACTGATAATCTGCCAAATTTAAACGTTATAGCATGAAAACTATAACAAACACAAAGTGGTTACGAGGTCGGTCCCAGGGACTGAGCCCATGCTGAAAGAATTAAGTAGAGCTGAGCAATTAATCTAATTTCCCAGCATCATGTAAGGTAATCAATTAATCAAAACTACAATTAAATCAATTAATATCACAACTAACTGAAATTAGTATTTCCAATAATTCCAACTATCCAAGCTAATCCAAGTATTTGTATTATGAGTTCTATAATTATTTTCTATTAATCCAAGTTAGTTCAGCTTAATCAATTAGTTTCATGACTCATGAAAATAATCAACTAATAGAAATAAGTGTTTCCAATTATTCCAACTACGTAAACAACATATTTTTATTATGAGTTCTACTGTTTTCTGTCGATTAATTCACGTTTCTTCAACTCAATCAATTAGTCATGACTCATGAAAATAATCAACTAAACAAAATTAGTGTTTCCAATTATCATCATTTTCTATTATTCCAACTATCCAAGTAATCAAAATTGCTACATAAGTAGCCACAATGATGCCTGTTGTTCATGTTTACCTTATATGGACGAAATAATAGAGTAGCTTAACCTTAATATATTGCATATTATTAAAAGCTACAAAAATAACAAAGTGTTATCTGGGATAAGATTTCTTTAACCAAAAACATTATGGTATGTTAATGTTCCATATTTTCTATTCACTCAAACAGAATTTTGACTCCTGAATAACTTTCTTGTTTAACTGCATTTGTCAAAAATTACAAGA